TATAAGTTTTAATAGTAAGATCAAGTAAATTTACCATTTCATCATTTGTATTTGTGCGCTCTAACTCAAGAGAGGATTGATAAATCTCCGGGGCATTATCAAACTCATCGGCTAAGTTAGAGACATGAAGTATGTCATCTATGTATCTGTAAGTATGATTGTACATGTATTGTAGCTTGACTTTTCATGAAGTCATATTCCATGTAGGTAATGTAAGGTCTGCAATTTAGGGACTACGTGAAGCCCCCCGGGGTATGCCTCTTATTTGTTGATAAATGGTACGCCCAAAATGCAGGAAGCTGGATATCAATAAAGAGTCCAGCAAATAACAAATATCTTCCACTTGATAAAATTCACCCTATGTTATATTAGTACTAGCATACGTTAGCTTGTTATTATAAATTTTGATGTATCTTTAACTTTGCATACATAGGCTTATGAGTCTTCTGAGATTGGATCTAATCACTTGGGAGGTAAGCTTGTGAATAAGCGCTAGAGAAATCTTCTGAAAAGAAGTTTAAATTACTCTTTGCTGCACATATAAATCTCTTACAACTTGATTGCTTTCTACAGACCATAGGAGTTTGACTTTGGTCCTCTGCCAAATAACGTTGCAGTAATTTGTAAAGTGTTTTTGATATGTGTTAGTATCAATGTATTGTATTGGTAAGTGGCTTAAGTATACTATTTCTAGACCCTGTTATAAGTCTGAATTTTATAGGGTTCTCAAGTATTTTAAGGATGCCGTATTTTCTAGGGATGTCATTGAATTCGCAATCAAATTTGATAATCAATCTACTAAGAGTACTTTTCAGTTTTGTACGATCCTCTTTCTGAAGTGCACTAGCGATGTAGGTATTTCCCTCTCTGTTAGACTGTTCCATTTCCTTTTTTAACATTATCAGATAAGGCTTCATATAAATGAAACTAAAGTTAGAATTTAATTAATTTGTTTTGCCTATAGGTACAGTAACAAAATGCTGTTGTACCTTTCTAAGAGCTTCTTAATCCTAATTATCGCTTTCTAGTTGCTCTTCATCATACAAATTGTATAATTTTGGATGAATTTGTTGTTAATCTGTCTTCTTATATCATTTACTGACTGCACTGTGATCAAGATAATGGCTTTGAGTTTGCGAATGTATTCATTCGTTAACTCATTGATCAACTCATCTAGTGAGTTCAACATCTGTTCTAGTGACCAAATATGATATGTCTCCTGTATTTTGTTCCTTTTCTCAATATTTCTCTTAGTTGTCTTTTATAAATTCGAGTTTTCTTGTGCATACATGTTTATGATAATTATCCACAAACTCTATATATCTCGAACATTCGCAATGTCATGTCTGCTTTCAAACACGGCTTCGGGCTTCTAGCATGAGCCCATATTTAAAAGCACTTGAGGGAGAAGATTCTGCTTTATAGATAATTCTTCAAAAACTCCTTCGATTTCAGCTGATTCAGGGTGGAGTACAGTGAAGCGTACTCCTGGATTGTGTGTTCCACTTTGGAAGTGGCAGCTTCAAGAGTTCCGATGGCTTTTTCTTTTTTGGTTAAGCCAGGGGTTTTAAGTTCGCGGTTCAAGTAACTCTTCCTATTTGGATTGCGATATGATCTTGTCCAACTTATTGCAGTCCACAGTAATACGATTGGAAACTGTAAGCTTCGCAGACATTTTGACTGCAAAACTTGTGATGTGACTTGTAGGAAGAAGTCAAGTTGAGTACTTGTGCACTTGTATCTATGCTTCAAAGTCCTTGTGATCGAAGTTTAGTGTCCGAATTTGGCCGATGCACCAAAATTGTAGAAAATGCTGTTCGTTAAACTTGTGCCACGCGGGTTGTGGATAGAGTGTGTGGAATGTTACCTCAAAGATTGTAATCAAGTTTATTTGGGAACAATACACCATATTTGATTTGATTTGACATAGAAGATGAGAGGAAAGTGCCTCAGAGACTTGTCAACACAGACTGCCTTCTCAGGATACTACTTGTGGACTGATCTCCCTAAAACTTATTAGGTAGCTAGATACTTGTCGTGTGATTTTAGCCCTACTCCTAGAAGACTTGTGAAGAGAGACTCAGTGCCGGAGGCTATTGTTCTCACCCCAGGAGCTAACCCTACATTTTGTAAAGAAACTTGTGGAAGACTGCTCGACCTTACTCATTCATCAGTATTTATCCCTTTAGATCATATGCCACGTCATCATTGTCAACTGATCTAGTGATGAGCCTGGATAAGTTAACTTGTGTAATCAAGTTAATGCTGGAACAGTATAAACTGAGGATCTTTGCTTGACTTGTACTTACTTGCCTGGTCAGTTACTTCCTTGCGAGGTACTGTTCCAACAATAAAGTTTATAAATAGAATCAACACAAACAAGAATAAACATGAAAATCAAAATAAACACAACAGCCAATATGATATCACTTCACTGTATGCAGTCGCCTTTGGCGACACATGTTGTGAATGACAGCTATTTTGACAGCGGTCTGTGCAGTGTGAGCACTGATAAAAAACCCCGAGAATTTTTCTTTGAGACCACTTCAATCAACCGCACCCTTGAACAAGATGATGTCTATAAGTAAGGAAGCCGTTTTATTGCGGTCGCTGCCGCATATACTTTAGTACCGTAACTGATGATTGACTTACCTAAAACAATCTTCCAATCTGATTGGTTTTGATGTTCGTAACAGTCATCTATGTAACGGCACTCCATAAGAGGAAGACGGCACAATATTTCCTACTCATAAAAAAGATCGCGAGAAGTGGTCCTCTGTTCTATAGCTGAGATGGTGTCCCGCAAGGAAAGCGACCAGCCAGGCAAACAAGAACAAGTCAGTGCAAACGCCTTAGAAGATCAGTGCTTGAGCTTTGACTTGACTACGCAACTCAAGTTATCCCTAGATCACATAACAATGAGGTGGGCAATACAAGTCAGCAGTGATCCACGGGGCAGTAGCCATTGTCAAACGATGTCTGACAGCCTCTCTACAGGCTTGTGGTTTTGAGTTCTGTGGGGTTTGATACACACCAGTATTTTGAGTTTTTTTGAGGGAAACTAGCAATGGCTACTAAAAACTCAACTCTCTGGATTTTCAGAAATCACAACCCTTTCCGATCCCATAAAAATTCAGACAGGCAAAACAGGTCCAGATGTGCATGAAAGTTCTAAAAGTTCGTTTTTCGAAGACCATGAATGAAATGGACGAGCTGTACACCCCCTAAAAGAGGCCTTTTTTGAGTGGGATTCAAACAGTGGCCTAATAATAGTCTGACTCAATTTGACAAGCCACCGCTTTTGAGGATGCACAAGTCTTCGGGTAGCATCTCACTCTCATGGTATTTTGTATTAATAAAATGTTGTTTTAGTTTCTGTAGTAATCAACAAAGATTTGTATACCCAAGCCTGAATTACTCACCAAACCCAGCTTGCTTGGAACATTGCAGCTCATATGCATGCAGATTTCGTGCTACAGCCATTGACTTTTTCAGCTACGAAAAACGATGCTCCCAAACTGAGAAAACAAAGACTTATCAGAAATGTAATTTTGTAGCCAATCAGTGATTTTTGCCTGCGACTCTAGCCATTTCTTAAGAGGTTTCTTTAGTTAGAGAATTTTCAAAACGATAGATGAAAGATGAGTTGCTTTTAGCGTTGCGTAGATGGCATACAGTCTGGATTTTTTCTCATTCAAAGTGAAAAGTAACATCAATCCTGCAATGCCCTCAATCCTCCCACAAGTGCTAGTAGGAAAATTCTTCCAAAAAAGTTCTAATAAGATCTAGTAGGAAACGTCGGTACCCATCTTTATTGCGAGTACTTTCAGCAATGAGAGCATAATGCATGCTTCTTTCCTCTGAAAGTATTCGCCAAAATCGAGCGGTGATTTCCGTTAACAACAAATGTGACTCTCCATAAAGTTGCACAGTCTTCCCAGCATCTTTCTCGAATAAATCTTAAAATATGTCGGACGCTTTGCATCGTTGAAAGGATTTAATTGAGTCTTGAAGTAAACTTTAATGAAGCGAAAGTGCTTTTCTTATGAGAGGAAACATCCGTCGCGAGTCAGTAGTTCTTGGGTTTCTTCTCTTTTGGAGTTGAATGTTATCAATGCAAAACAATATCGTAAGAAAGTTCCAAAGAAATCCCGATTACCCGTTACCACAACACCGCCGTTAGAAGGTTATTCACAACATGCTCAAGACAGCTATGAAGAAAACTGAGAGTAAACGCAAAGAAGAGCGCTGAATATGGCTTGAATAATTGGCACTTACACCAAAGAAGAGTTGGTATTTCATTCACTCCTAACGATTGCAATCAAGACCAATGCAAAACATGTGCATCCCTCAAAAATCTTCCCGTATGAACCGTCCGCGGCTGTCTTTCGATCATTTTAACATGTTAACTTCAAATAAGATAAGATTTGCTGGAGTTGACGTGTTGTTTGACAAACTGTACACTCTTTCGACAAGTCGCAACACAACTGACATGCAAATACACGATCTTGCTCGCGCTTCATCTTCAAAAATCAAAATTTTTTCATCGCGTTTTGATTGAATGTTTCGATTACAGCGCACACATAGCGATGCGACTTAGAATTCAAAATATAAACGGACATGGAGAAGCATAGTGCAGAGTATTGTGGGAAAATTATGTGATTGAAGGTTGTGGTAAGCTTTTTTTCTAAAAACGTCTCACTACCACGAATGGAGAAAATACTCGTTTGCAGTGCACAGACGACGATAAGGCACAAAATTTGGTGTGTACGCGTAGTTAGAATAAGGAACAGAAGATGAAATATTATGGAAAACTTATGTGAATAAATGGCGTGACTTTCTTGGACTTTCTTGGCCAGTTGCCCACCTAATGCCAACCTGAAGTAGGGCAAAACTTCCATTTCGCATGAGTTTCATAATTTTTACATAAATCTGTTCTCCACCTATAGTTTAGCATATAGTAACATGTTGGTTCCAAGACTCTTTCTCTTCCTGTTTAGGGTGCGGAATAGCAACGACGCCGGTCCTTTTGAGGAAGAAAGCACGCTCAAATCGAACAACCTCTGCAGCTGGCTGGATCAGATGTGGATCAGATTGGATGTTCATGCCACCCGTGCTGGGCCCTGTATACCGCTACTGTATGCTACCAATTCGCCTAGTCTACTTTATTCAAAGCTGGTATAAGCTCGTGCAAGACGAAGGCGGTCGGGTCAATGTGCGACGTAGCTGTGACGCGGCCGTGACGCAGCCGTGTCGCAGCTGCTTGCATATCTGAACAACCGCCTTCGTCTTCCAGGAGCTTATAACTACATGTGTTGCGTAACATATGAAATCAAAGAACACATATGTAACGGTTGATATCGGCCTACTGAAAGCCCACCGGGTTTAAGAATAAAAAGAAACCTGTCCGAAAGATAGAAATTCCTGAACTTCCCTGCAAACACAGAACTTAAAGTTGCGAGAGAGGAATAAGGCAGGATATCTCATACTGTTATACGAGAAAGATACTGCTGCTAGGAAAGCTCTGAGGCATTTTTTCGTTTTTGCTAGAGATCCATGCACAACCAGCCGAAGTAAGTGTTTGCCAATCACAGACTTTATGCCTTCTGTAAAGATATATGAATGAGGCAGTATGCACGCACGCTTGCTGACAAGGGAAGGGCAGCTGGGGAAAGACGCGTTACATCTCAGTGCTCTAAATAGCTGTATTCCGTTGTTCTTACCTTATAGAAGTTCTCATACCCTGATTAGCATTTTGGATAACAGGAAGGAACCACAAAAGCTGAGATTTTCTGTTTTGTGTGATAGCTATAGGACTACCAGGGGATCAGCCCTGTTCTCAAAGTTGTCCACATTCCCATAAACTGTGTTGGCGTTGTGTGTGTGTTGTGTGTGTTGTGTGTGTTGTGTGTGTGTTGTGTGTGTTGTGTGTGTTGTGTGTGTTGTGTGTGTGTTGTGTGTGTTGTGTGTGTTGTGTGTGTTGTGTGTGTGTGTGTGTGTGTGTGTGTGTGTGTGTGGCGCCCCCGAAAAGAATTTTTATAAGGATGAATTGCATTTTTTAAATTTAAAAAATTCTTCTAATTACTTACGAGTATAAAAAGTCAATTGCACAGTTTTATAAGTCATGTAGGTTCCTTTCAATTTCGCGCCCCATTCTCGGGGCAAGAGGCGCCCCTTTCTACCCCTCGGTATGCCACTGCTTGGAACTATTTAAAAATTAAAACTGCATGACTTACTGCGGGTGAAAGTGGAGAGGGACGTAACTTATGGGACAACCTGATAGCAAAAAATTTGATCAAAGAATTGAACAAGCTTGCCTCAGCTATCAACTTGCATGCATATGACGCTTCGTTAGCGCCTCAATTGTCATTTTCTCCAGAAGATGTTGATTTCCCAAAATCAATAGATTAGAGGGCGCAATTACTCAAGTGGATTGTCAGGGGCCAAACGGAAGCTATGATTTGATAACATCAAAAGTATTGGTAAAATAAAGAACCATGTAAAGATCTGACAAGGAGAGGATACTTAGTCGAAAGCACCAATCCAGAAAGCACCATATGTCATCTTACAGCGCTTGAAACGCTGATTCCAAATCTGCAGTTTCTAGCTGCGGAGCGGTTTTGTAGGAGGAGTTATGAAGGGTCCCCTCTGGGGTTTAAGCGCCCTGCGGCGGTCTCCCCGCATCTCTAAGCACTGTAGAGGAGTATCAGCTGTGGCAACTGACCTAATGGTAAGTAACTTGAATGAAGATTACAGTAAAGACTGTAATACTCATATTACTTTGGTTTTTTAACACTTCTAACTTCGATTAGTATCAATATCATCAAAAGTTTCATGCTTTAGGGCTTTAAAGCCATTTAGAAGTTCAATTTAGCATGCGAAGGGGGTTAAAACCTTAACACTCTCTTTATCAAGCATGTCACTTATCATTAGGTCAGTTGCCACCAGTTGGTACTCCTCTACAGTGCTCATAGGTAGGGGGAGATTTTGTGGAGGGCGCCTCAACCCCAGAGGAAACACCCCTCATAACTTCCTCTACAAAACCGCTCCGCAGCTAGAAACTGCAGATTTGGAATAAGCGTTTCAAGCGCTTTAAGATGATATATGTCTCATCTGGATTGGTGCTTTCGACTAAGTATCCTCTCCTTGTGAGGTGAAAACTTGGATATTAGTTATATCGAGTAATGGGGATTTTTTTCTACTGTCCATCTCCGATTATTGCTGCAAGCATATGAGAATCAGAATAAGGTGTGAGTGAATGATTTGCTGCTAACCAATACATTCCTGTTTTTGGAATCAAAAAAACACCTGCATCCTTGAAGGTACATTAATATTGATTGAAGTGCAGATGGATATGGTTTCGCCAGAATGTTGGAAAGACTTTCAGTCAACTTCAGGACCTTCATACCTCGTGGCAACTGCCGCTAGCCACCTGCAGTCACCGCCAGAAGTCGTCAACCGCCGCTAAATGCTCTTGTTACCAGAATAATCCGACATCAGCAGACTTTCGTTATCCTCCGATACCCCTTTTGGCATCGGAGGATAATAAATGGCATCGGAGGATAATGGCCTGATGTGCAGCTCGACTCTCTTGCATCACCTTTTGCATATATTTATCTTACCTGGTTGGCGTGTTTTATCTGAACCATTTTTACGCTCTAAATCTGATATCTAACCTTTACGACAAAAGAAGAGTTTTTTAAACTGTAAAGAGAGGTATGCAGAGGATTGAGGCGTATAAAGATAAGTTGAGCTGAAGCATACGAGAAGAAGAGCCATTGCAGCAACATTTGTCGAAGATAAAGAAATTGTCAACTCATGTGATCTGAATCGTACTGGACATGACAGGTCACGCCACAGAATATTGTCACTGGTAGCGTTCTTCCGCGTTTCGCTTTCGCGGTGACCAGACAATGTAGACAATGAATACAAAGACAATGCATGGGAATCTATCGCACATGAACAAGAAAAAACAAAGGGAACAAAACCGGCTAACGGCGGCTGACGGCTGCCGGCTTGGTATGAGGACACCCTCAGAGCCTTGATAAGAGAATTTTGCGCAAAAATAGTAGTCATACTCTTGTTCATAAAAGTTTTCAATATGAAACTGTTTGAGAAGTAGATATATTGTCCTCTAAGAAACTCAAAAATATAATATCATCATACTTGGGTCACTCCATCAATTAAATGTGCTACGTTTTGGAACAAAATTTAAGGATGCGTTGCGCTTTTCAAAAATTTTGACAGTCCTCTCAAGTGCTTGTTCAACCATTTAATCCTTCGTTCCGCGTTCGTTATTGCTTGGGCAAACCCGAACTCCTTTGCACATTTGAGACTCTTCTCGAGCAACATGAGCTGTAAAGTTTTGGTTTTGCTGCAGCATAAATCTATAAAAGTGACATAAACTATAGATTTTTCTTGCATCCAAAACGACATTTCAACACCAACTTTATTTTATTTGCTGATATTACAATAGCGGTAAGCAAGTAAATGCCAGCAAGTCTAGTACATTCACCATAATCAATTTTGATATGCTTATGCAAACTTTAGCCTTCATTACAAATCTGTTTTATTGATTTATGCAGAAATTGAAGTAGTTTGTCGTATAATTAATAAAGATTATATATTTTTGCATATGCGAGATCATTATTTTAAAATGTACCCTCCTTCCCCATAGAGCAGAACTCTGCTATAGAGCTCCACCTTTTACTTCAGTCCAAATTTTCACGAAAGTCATGGTAGCTTAGAAATCTCGATTGTGTTTTTGCAACCCATGATAGCACGAAAGCATTTACATAAAATGTGTCTTTACAATCAAACGACTACATCTAACATCTAACTGGTAATAAATTGAACTATCTCACCTGCTCGATTTGCTGTTTTGAATGCACGGCAAGTATTGCTGATGAAAGAAATAGCTCAATATTCTCGCGTTGTTGCATCTTCCTATAAAGGTACTACTGTAAAACTTTCTTACTCCTTGTTGGTGTAAATAACCTGTCACATATAAAGCTCCTATTTTCAACCAAAAATTCGAATATGGCTTTCGGTCCAGCTCGATTATGTTTCATGCTTAATATTATACTCCTAATCTCTGTATGTGAAAATGAAACATTTTCACTGAGAAGAGAGTGAAGAAGCCTAAAAGTCAGGTGGATGAGGTGAACAATAATTTGTTTTCATACAGGTTGGACCAGACTTCGCAGCGTACGCGGCGTATGCGCCATATCTTTACGCACGTGTGCGTATGCTGCGTACTTCGCGTACGCCGTGCAATTTGGCCCAACCCTACCGTGGTTTTAAAGGCAGCGTCCAGGCAGGTCCACAGAAACAATTTATATACATTTCTGTGCTAATGAAAAAAACTATGCTATCGCTTAACGCTCTTAAGGGAAAAAGCGCATCAGCAGCTTCGAAATAGTCATAGATACTGGAGCGTCTGAATAGCACTTGCGATGTGGTTTAACACATCTATACGTCTTCGATCTAGAGCACTGGCACCTCAGCTTCCCCACATTTCAGGTCAGTGACGTTTTGTTGCGTCACAATGCGCCCCATCGATGCCGCAAACTAAGTAAGTAATCAATAAAACTATCAAGATGCAAAAGGTGTATGAAGCGAGAGAATCGCTCAAAAAAAGTGGATGCTGCTCGAGTTACCACTCCCACCAATTCAAAAGGATTCCAGAACATAGGTGCGATAGGGAGAGCCGGGCTCGCTCCAGGTGAAGGGGGTCTCTGGTACTCCCATCCTTGTAAGGTGAAGGGGGTAAGTGAGCCCTGAAAGCAGAATGCCCCAACAAGTTACATACCATTCGAAAAGAGGTCATATAGAATCGACATAGACCGTCGGTTTCTAGGTCTTTTGTGCCGCGCGATATGAGGGATTTTATGTACTTCATATATCAACTAATTTTGTGTCCTCACTTTCTGCTCTGCAAGTGAATGCTACGAGAAAGTCGACGGTCTACGTTTGTTAATGAAGACTTGCTCCGTAATGCAGATAGATAACCAGCAGTGATTAGGTCGTTTGGCAGAAATCTGCTGTTGAAAATAAACATGATTTCAGATAAAATGCTTTGTATCTCTCGGTAAAGGGCGGCTAGAAAGAATTCGACGGTCTACGTCGAGTCCCCTTCTGAGCTTTCGAATGGTATAAAGACTGCTAAGCGAAAAAACTTGCCAGTTTTTAAAAATGGTGTGGAGGTATTTACTATTAGCTTGCTCCACCCAGCTCCCCCAATGTATTGGCTTTTATCGGTCACCAAAGCAAGTGCTTTTTATAGCCGGGAAGCAAAAAAGCCCTAACATGCTTTACACCGTTCGAAAGCTAAGCTCATGGAGAATCGACTTAGACCGTCCCTTTTTTCATAGCTTCTCTGTAGAGCGAGATACAAGCAATTTTATACGCCTACTCACCAGCTAATTTTGTGTAATTAATTTGTAATTTATTTTTGAAAGAAAATACAAAGATAAAAAAGAGACGGTCTACGTTTACTGGCAAGGTCTTGCTCTGTGATACTGTTAGATAATCAGGCACCTTTATCCATTCTTCACGCAGAAATTTCTCGACAAAAACACACATGTTTTTGGCTAAAATCCCATGTAACTCTAAGTAGAGGAGAGCTAGAGAAAAAGAGACGGTCTATGTCGAATCCTCTTTTTGTGGGCTTTTTAGTGGTATACAGGTTGTCGGGTGAAAAAAACTTGTAGTTTCTCAAAAATGAGGTGGAAATATTCAATAGTAACTTGCTCCACCCAGCTCCGGCTTTCTATGGGTTGCCGGAGCAGGACTTTTTTGGACTGGGAAAGTTTTGTGCACCAACACCTTATACACCATTCGATAGCGAAGAACACGAGGAATCGACGTAGACCGTCTCTTTTTTCGTAGCTTCTCTGTGAGGCGAGATACGAGCAGTTTTATCTAGCTACAATATCAGCCAATTTTGGATTATCATATTTTAAAACCAAGAAGGTCTTTTTCGAACTTTTATATATGAATCGAAAGCATGAAAAACGAGTAATCTAACTTGTTTTGTTTGTTATTATTCTCTCTAATAAAAAGAGATATGGTATGATTTCTTGTCAGTAAACATGCATCCATCGTTAGTCGGTTCAGATTTTTCTACTCTTGCTCAACTCTTTTTTGCAACAATACGTATTCATTGATACAGTGTTAATTATTCAAAAAATCAGCATCCTTTTACTTTTTGATTATTTTGTCGTTTCGTTATCAACGCCCATTGAGCGCGCAGAAGGTCTCAAGCATGCGTTTTTTAACGAAACGTTGTTGATTCGATACTCTCTTGAGTCTTGATGTCTGAGGAGAAAAGCAGCTGGCGTTTCCTTTCCAAACAAAAAGTTCCGTTGTAATAGCTGTTTGCCTTGGTTAGTCTGAATCTCAGGTGAAAGGGGTCAGCCAGATGCCGGCCCTAAAGTGAAGGGGGTCAGAGAAATTTCTCCACCTATCGCATCTATGTTCCAGAATATAAAAGGAAGCGACGTATTTCTCCCAGTTCCTAGCTCATCTTCGAACAGGAGACAGATAAGTGTAGGTAAGCGAGTAATCGGAGGAGGACTCGCCTTGACGCTACTTTATAGAGCAGAAAAATTCCTAGCATACCATTTTTTTAGCGTAGGAACTTTTTTCTGGCATCCTAGAGCATTCAACAGGCGGTCTTTTTCCACTTGTACATTCTCACCCATGTAGAAATGCTTCACCTGAATTGATTAAGCTTCAGCGTAGAATTCGTGCACATATGTTGCCTGCTTCAGTGATAGTAGATGGTAGTTTTCCGTCAGTCATATTGTGATAGGGTTTGTCTTCCGTCCCAATTCTTCGTAATAAGATTTCTGTCCCCACTGCCACATTGCCAATGTGATAGACCAATGAAACAAGTTAATCAATCAATGAAGCAAGTCACCTAATATTAGGGATACTTGCAGTCTTTTCCCTCTGAAGCTATCCCTATCCACCATTTTATGACTAGCTCGAAAAGATCAAATATTGTTCCATTCCATAAGCGAACTAATTCCGATAAATGTTCGTAGTTTTGTAATCAAGCTTATCCCCCTTGCCCAAACCTGCGGCAAATGAACTGTTGAGTGGCATCATCTCAATTGAACAGCATCTTCATTTCCCACTCCCCTCCCCTTCCGCTTTGACATATTCTTAAAGGCAGCGTCCAAGCAAAAAGTTGATTTTGAGATTTTGTGCTTACCCGGGCTTATTCGCTATCTGAAAATCACCACTAGAGAGCGCGAAAACGGCGAAAAAGGTTCTAACGCAGGAGGAAAATCAGCAGGGGCGGGGCTCGCGCCAGGGTGGATACACGCTCCCAGCTTTCGGAGCAATTGTCTCGGTTCCTTTACTCGCCCCAACATCGCTACCGGCCAAATGCAAACGCATGACTCGAGATCGGAACCGAGAAGACCGCTCTGGAAGCTAGTAGTGCGAAACCATCCTAGCGCGAGCTCCGCCCCGCTGATTTTCCTCCTGTGTTAGAGCCCGTTTTCGCCGTTTTTGCGCTCTCTAGTGGTGATTTTCGGATTCAGCATAGCGAATAGGCCAGGGTAAGCACAAATTCTCGAAATCGACTTTTTGCCCGGACGCTGCCTTTAAGCTCAAAGATTGCAGAGAAACTAAGCCAATATGTTAAGCGGTTGTTATCTTTGCGCAACCTTACCAACTCGCTTAGCTTCAACTTATGCAAAGGATATGCATATTGACCACTGTGATTGGTATGACGCCAGATCCTCCCTTTCCTGTCTGGACGCAAATTGCGGTTGATCTCTTCTAAGCAGCGCTTTTCCACTTGGAACATATGCACATACCGACAGATGTAGCTTTTTATGTTACTTACTCACTTAGATGCTTAGATGGCCCGTCCTCACGTGACGTGCAGGCCCCAGTACAGAAGTTGCCATTGATCCCTGTCCCTCGCTTCGGACATCCACGATCTTCTTGGTCGTCGTTGGTGGCTGCGTCCACGAGTTCCAGGGGCGAGAATCGTATCCAGCTGATTTCTCAGCTGGTCCATCCGTTCCACGAACACGTCTGCCCACCTCGTCGGTGGTCTTCCTCGAGGACGTTTGGCTTTGCGAGGAATCCACTCAGATGTTCTTGGTGTCCATCTATCGTCCGTTCTTCTCATTATGTGACCGGCCCATCGGTGTTTCGCTTTCGCAACGTATTCCGCTGGGTCACGAAGACGGGACATTCTTCTCATATCCGTGCTGCGAAGTCCGACTAGATGTTGCTTGTGTCGGGTCATCTTCAGAAGACTGCGCTCGAGCGCTCTGTGGGTGGTCCTTAAAGCTTTCGACGTGGCTACGGTGCGGCCCAAGTCTCAGCTGCGTAGCAGAGCGCTGGGAGAACGGTTGAGTCGAACAGGTGGGCACGAAGCTCCGGGTCCGTCAGTTGGTCGGTGGCTTCCTTCAGAGGCCCGAAGGCGGCCCAGGCTGCTCTTCCTTCTCCTGTTAAGTTCTTCCCTCAAATCGTTCTCTACGTTCATCGAACGTCCGAGATACACGTAGGAAGACGTCTCCATAATCGGGGTGCCTTCCAATTCCATTTCTGCATCTTCGCAAAGGGCGTTCTTCATGAACTGAGTCTTCTTCCGATTTATTCGCAGTCCGATCTTCTTCCCTACTTCGTTTAGTTCCTTCAGCATCGTCTCTGCTTCGGTGATACTGCTCGAGAAGAGAACGATGTCGTCCGCAAAACGAAGGTTGGACAGGAATCTCCCATCAACTCGTATGCCTCTCTCTTCCCAGTCTAGTGACTTCATCACCCACTGCAAGGCCGCGGTGAACAGCTTCGGCGAAATTGTGTCGCCTTGTCGGACCCCCTTCCCGATTGGTATGGTCAGGGGGCGATGGAATAGCTGCATCGTCGTTGTACAGTCCTTGTAGCAGTCGGCTAGTGTCCTCACGTAAGCTGATTCCACTCCTTGATCGACTAACGCAGACAGGATGGCGTTGGTTTCGACGCTGTCAAAGGCTTTCTCGTAGTCGACGAAGGTTAGGACGAGAGGCAGTCGGTACTCCCGGCAGACTTCTATGACCCTCGAAACCGTCTGGATGTGGTCCATGCAGCTGAATCCTTTGCGAAATCCAGCTTGTTCTTGGGGTTGGGCTTCATCCAGTGTCCTAGATATGCGAGCGAGGATAATCTTCGTGAAGAGCTTGTACAGCACACTCAGCAGGCATATTGGACGGTAATTTCGAAGATCTTCCCGTTCACCCTTCTTAAAAAGAATGACGTTTCTTGACGTTCTCCACTGGTCGGGAATCCTCTCCTTCTGAAGGTAAGATGTCAGGTGCGACGCGAGAATCTCGTGTAGACGTTGTCCTCCGGCTCGCAGAAATTCGACGGAAAGATGGTCTGGTCCTGGAGCCGTGGATGTCTTCATGGTCTGAATCGCCGTGCGCACTTCAGCAGGTAGAATTCGTGGTGGTGCTTCTCCAGTGGGAACAACGGGCGTCGGCACGGGTGTTGATGAGCGGAAGAGGTTGGTATAGAAGTTCTTCGCTATAGATTCCATCTTGTATCGGGAAGAAGTCGGAGTCCCGTCTTCGTTCAATAGTGCAGCCAGCGGTACGTGATATTCACAGAGGTCCCTTCGGTATTTCTTAAGACTTCGTCTTCGGCTGCTTCCAGTATCTTGGCTTGCCTGTACTTCCTGAGATCCTCCTGCATAGCTGTTCTGCAACTGGCGTTGGCTATCAGTCGCTCGAGATGGGTTGCATTCGGATTCTGCCTCAGAAATCTTCTTCTTTCAAGCAATTCCTTGGTGGTCTTCGAAATACGTTCCAAGTTCTTTTCAGAAGTCACTGAGGCGCACTCTCCACAGGCTCGCAATCCTTTCAGAAGCCGGTCGTAGTCGTACGTTGGGTCCTCCTCGATGGGCCAGTCACATCTTGATATGAGCTCCTCCAGCCTGTTACCGTCATAAACGACTTCCTTCCTTCTCGCGGCACTGTGACAGACTTTCTTTTCCAGCCTTCGGCTGAGTCGTATCTTCGCTCGAAGGAGGCGGTGATCGGAGCCACTGCAGAAGGATGGAACTGCTGAGACATCGAGCAAGCTCCACCTTCGGTTGATGAGAATGTGGTCGATCTCCGCGTGAGTCGTTCCGTTGGGCGATTCCCATGTCCACCGGCGATGTTCTTTCTTCATGAAGATGGAATTTCCATGGAAGAGTCGTGCGGCGGAGAGAAGCCCAGCGAGACGGTTGCCGTTTTCGTTCCGGAGCCCATATCCAAACTTCCCGATCCTATATTCCTTTTCTAGGGGCATCCCGATTTTCGCATTGAAGTCGCCCACAACATACTTGTAGAAGGACTTTTCGTTGCGGACGACCTCCTCCACGTCTTCGTAGAAAGCATCTAGTTCTGAGTCGTCAGCTGCCGATGTTGGAGAATAGCAGTTGATGATGCTGATGGTCTTCTGACGTGGAGGGCGTAGTCGTAGGATGGCTAGTCGGGGTGATAGGATCTCGTGCGAATCGACAAGATGGACGATAGATGGGTGGACGACAAAGCCAACGCCTCCCACGTTTCGTGATGGAACCTTCTCACCACGAATGATGAGCGTCCCATCATTCATCTGTCGCACGTCCTTCTTCCTGGACTTCGTTTCCTGCAGAGCGATGATGTGGTACTTGATGTGCTCTGCAGCGTCGAGAAGAGCATGGAGGTCGGCGTTTGTGAGGACTGTCCTGGCGTTGTAGGTGCAGAGCATGAGGCAGTCTCCGTGGCGTGTCTTCCGGGCAGACGTGTCGTTTTTGTCCAATCCAAAAGGCGCCCTGAGGACCCTGACATCAGTCTTGCTACCACCCGGCGCCGTAGGCGGGATCCGATGTGCAGGGTTTCTTTTATTCTTCTAACTGGTAGAGTAATGAAATTTTTCCCCTATAAGAGCAGACTTACTAGGCCAACTCTTGATTTCCACGGGGCGATCGCTGACCCCAGGCTTGGAGCGGGGAGAACCGCCTAGCGACCTGAAAACCAGACGGCGGTGGATCTGGCCTGGCCGGCACTTAGCTAGGCATCCGGCCGAAACCGGAAACGTCGAACTCCTTCACAGCTTGGGAGGCCCTGCCAGAGTATACACTCGGCTGTGCATCGCAGTTCGACACCCAGTGTCACCCCCACGCCACGATGAGGCGGCCGACCATTGTGGGGGCTTTTATGTTGATTGCAAAAAATTTGATCAAATTTCCATTACCTTTTCCAAAGCAGTGTCACCCCCTTCTTCCACCCCGTAGCAATACGTGCTGGCTCGAAGTGGAGCAGCAACGCTAAACGATTCACGGTTTTCAAAATATTGCTGATATTAATTACACATACGTAGCACATTGACTAGGTGCATCAAGACTGTCACACGGAGCAACGATTTCGTCTTCAAAGAGGTTTCTATAATTTGCTTTGCATTCAATCGATCCGAGTTTGCAGAAAGTGTTTATTACGTACCGCTCGAAAAACCTGCAATTTAGTTCAGTATTCTTGATGGTGGCAAATTTGCTCAAGAAATAAATTTCCATAGCTTATTGGATGACTAGAAATTCCTTCGTATCAGCATCACAACTGGAGAGTTTACTAGGCTGTTGCGTAAGTTCTGTCCGATTTGAATTTTTGAGTTCAAAATGTCATAACTTCTTTCAAAGTCAACTTTTTTCCAAGATCTTAGCTTCTATGTGTTAAGCAGTTCCTTGGCTATCAGATACGTATTGAGACTTGCGAAAATCCTCGTTAAGGAAGAAGCAAAAACTCAAAAACTTGACGTTTTTCTTCAAACCTGTCTTTTTTGACATAGCATGCTCCCTTATGAGTATTAGTAGGCATCTTATTCAACAATGGATAGATGGAAAAATTTTCGCAGATTATTTCACAACATCAAAGAGCCAATAGGGTCTGCGCTGCCGAAAGATTTTTTCGACCGAGCAAAAAAGAAGCCACTTTTTGACCTTGCTCAAGCACATGTGTGCATGCCTACTTACGAATTATGAAATTTTCAATGTGAGCGCCGAAAAAGAGTTGGTGGATGGGCACTGTTAGCTCTTGCTTTATCCTAACACCTCCAACTTTGAACTCGTCGATTACTTCTATTCGCAGGAAGTTATGGGCAGCGTCCAGGCAAATCTGGACCTATGGGGCTCTAACGTGGAAAGCAATCTTGAGGCCTCAAATAAGACTCTGCCCAAGCGGTAGTTCAGATAGTGCACTCACGGCCAAGATATTGGGCTTCAAACTATGGATTCGTGACGCTTTCGCGCGAGATCTACGCGAAACTGATGTGCCGAGCCATGAATCCATGCGAATACGGTCACGGGGCATAGTTTGGAAGCCCAATATCTTGGCCGTGAGTGCACTATCTATACTGCCGCTTGGGCAGAGTCTTATTCAGGGCCTCAAGATTACTTCTCACGTGAGAGCCCCATGGATCCAAATTTGCCTGAACGCTGCCTTTAATGCTTGCAAAACATTTATACAAAAATTATTGTTCCACAACATTTACTACCAAGACGCTTTCGTCATGAATTTGAGCTTGTGCATATGTTAACCTGTTACAACCTTATTACGAAACCGGTAAAAGGACCTGGCCTGAAATGCGCATTGTGGTTTTTTCTTGCAAGAACATACCTTTAGGAGAACGTACCTCGGCCAGTTGGAGATTTTAGGTGTGAAATCTCCTTAAACTAAGAAATTATTGAAATTTAATATGCTTTAGAAAGAGCAAGAAAAGCACTTTTTAATGATACTAACAATATCGCATCAGAGATGAAATTTTTTTCGGCCAGCTGCTTCAAACATGAGGCAAAAAAATCGGACAAAACTTTGCAGCAGCCTAGTACATCAATTCGCACACTTTTTTCAGAATCCGTGGTACTTTTACTAATTCACAGTCATCATCATCATTGGTTTTGATTCTTCATTTTGCCGAACAAGCAGGAGATGCTCGTTCAACTTCAATGTTTTTTAATCAGACAAACCAAAAGGTACTCACAAGGGAATGGTCAGAAATCAAAATGGCCAATCCAAACAAGCTGCATACCATTGCACGCAGCAGAGACTTTAAATTGACTTCTGTATCCGCTGAACGTCTTTGTAGAGAAGTTTTGAGCAGTTTTATTTCAAGAGAATCGTGTATAAAGATTGCGAAAGGAAGCACACTATTGCTTCATCAACCCATCTCTCGTATGGGCAAACTGATTTAGGTGCACGTATTAGGGAGACGGTTAAGAGTCGCAATCTTTAACACATTGACGACAACGTGACCCACATGGTGGGTCATGCAATGACTGCCACGTGGGACAATGTGACCCACATGGTGGGTCATGACATTAATTTTTTTGAAATAATGACAATTACTGGGTACATCCGTTTCTTGAGGTTTTTTATGTTCTAACCCTAGAAAATACCTTGATGTTTCTTGGCCGCTTTCAAGAATTTACGTAGGTATAGTTAAGTTGACAATCTGCTTGATTTTAGCTAGAAATCTTCGACTCTTTCGTGGAAGGCATTGTCCCACAAGGCAGACAACTAGAAATGCGCGTTGTCGTCAACGTGTTAAAGATCAAGAATACAACAGCTCTACACTGATTCGTGCGATTCGTGTCAACTTTGACCAAGAAAACTCTTGATATCAAGTACATGAAAACAATAATTTGACAGCTAGATTTTTTTGGAATTTCCTACTGCAGTTTGCGTTTGAATTTCTAAAGGAAAGATTGTAGTCAAATTGCATCCAGACTAATGAGATGTTGAGCAAATGATTGACGCTAAATTTGCTAGAATTATTCATTGTACAGTAATTACTGTACAACATAAGCTATGAATCGAAAATAAATCATTCACATCGCATGCGACACTTACCGTCAGCGCATTGAATAAAAAACACGCATACTTACACTTCCGCAAAAAACCCTTCGTTTTCAAATTTGCTTGCGATGCTGCCAAGACTGCAGTTTCGATAGAGAGGCTCTAACAGGTTGAGCATAAACCGCTACAATAATTATTTGTCAATAACAGCATACTGAATAGAGTTCAAAGATGTGATTAACGCAGCTATTGCTCACTTCAAGATATTCTGATTCCGGCAAGTCTCTGAGGTAACTTAACACTTCAGAAATCCCATCAATTGCTGCTCTCCATGGAAGATACTCCTGCAATGGAGATACATATGCATGTAACACGAGTAAATATTTCGAAGATATTCGATGTTTTTTGATGGTTTTATAACCTTTGATTGTTGCAAAAGTACCTATGCACATTATCAGGTTGATGCAAAAATAATGGCCGTTTTGCGGACTTTCACTTTGATGTGCTATAACTTTCTAAAAAATCCACATTTCCGAATGCAGTAAAGACCGTCAGAAGCAAAACTTTCGCAATACAGCGCTCACAATATGTTTGCAGCACAAACGGAAAGAAAAATACGGATTAAAAGACAAGAAAAAAATTTTAACTTTGTTTTTGACAGTTCATAACTTCCCTCGAAATTTGTTATTGAGAAGGCAAGTGGCCTATCTTGTAATCGCAAGCCAGTAGTACAAAATATTATGGAAGGGGTTTGGCGAAAAAAATTGCGGAAGGAAAAATTTCAAATTTAAAACTGTCAGTTTTCTCACATTTTTTCAGTATGCCTCAAAACCCCCGAATTTCTGCGTACCGAACAGCTGGATGTTTTTGCAAAACAGCTATTAGGATGCACTAGCATTACGCTTACAGAAACTGTGCAAAACTTCAATGATAGACTTCTTCAAAATGAATTTATGGGTCATAAGACTTAGTGTTTACGGATTACTTTTTGTGGACTTAGTGTTCTTTTTTTGGATCGCTTGGTTGAGTTTATTTTTTGGTGCACCTAGAATGTGAATTAAAATAAAATAAAATAAAATAAAATGACCTCAACGGCTACCCATATTGAGGCGCCGATATCTCAGTACAGAAAAATTTCCGAAAAAGCGCCATTCATGCGCTCTTGAATGCTGACCACAAAAGCGAATGCATTGGAATTCTGAATTTGGATGCGGTTATTTGAAGCTCAATAACTTTATAACAGATGATGATGGAAACCCGCTTCAACCACCGCTAGATGGAGCATGAGAACGGCTTCTCAGTGATATGCTACACGTATTTCAATGAAGATATTCTGATGGAAAAAAGTTGCCCTGAAGAAAGGCTTGGAAAATCGGCCATTATTTTTGCATCAGCCTAATATATACAAGATGAGACAACTCTCAAAGTTGTATAAGACAAGAAGCACATCACTTCATTTTGCACGAGATATATAGAGCCACAGAGACTTTCAAAATGAGTACATAGGGCAAGCGCTCCTTTTTGATTTACTCCTGACTAACAGCAATGAAACTCAATAGGGATTTTTTTCGGCTCAAAGGCGTCCAGGTAAAATCTATATTTCTCCGAAAGTACCTAGTCTACAGGAAGGCCCTAGGAATTAGGACCAGGGCTCGGCACAGGTGGCTTATAAGCAATCTGGATATCGTTTTTGGAACAAAAAGTAAAGGGGGTTTCGTCTCTGTGGCCGAAAAGACACAGAATTTGCTACGTTTTTTTTACGTTGACGTTTCGTTTTTTTTTGGAGATTTTCTAGGGATTACCGTCTAGGATCTCAAGGGGACTTCGTTCTTTGCATTTTCAAACTAGCCACCTCGTGCCGAGCCCTGAATAGGACATCTAACACTTCACGTTTGTGATTGGGGACATGGGAAGGCCTCAGAATATTTGAAACATGGAAGGCGAATTTGGATGGATGCTGCTCCTCATTCAGACCGTATTATATCAGTCACACGAACCGTCTTCGAACTTATGCTCAGAGTAATACTAATCTTCTCTTATCCAGTTTACTGACAAATTTTGAACTAGAAGAAGGTATGGGCTCGAAGCTTTGAAATTCTCATGAGCTTTGCTCTTGTTGAATAAAAAGCCAATCCACACTAATTTTGATACGCAGAAAAAAGGCTCAGAAAGGCGAAGCAAACCAGCGTAATCAGAAGGTCTTGGAGAATAGACCAAATGTGTTTTTACCGATGACAGCCAACTCATAGTTATGGGATCAATTTGACGATCGGTCAGTTATTCGGTGAGAAAATCCGCTATTACGGGCGACAACATTAATCGAGGGTAGTACTCTAAACAAGAAAAATGAGGTAGTGAACAAATGAATCAAAGCCTAAAATACAACTCCAATTTTATATTCGCTGCTATCTCTTCTTTATTTTTGATTCTTATTTTGGGAATTAGACCGATTTGTGAAAGCGCTGCATTTTGGTCAAAATCACAGGAAAGATTTTACATAAGTTTTTGTGATGGTGATAGTGCATAGCCGATTCTGTGTGAGAGTCCATGTCTAGTCGATATGTAGAACAGGTATGAATAGTCGCTAGAAGTTGCATATCTTTTGGAGGCTTGTGGATCCTCCGACGGAAAGAGTACGTGATTTTTGTTTGTGCGATTAACCTGACTCAGATTGTGTCATATTTTCTACATTGCATGGAAATCGCCACTTGTAAAGCCAAGCTTCAGTGACCCGAAAAGACTTACGTAGTCGCTCATATGTTCTCGATGTTGGCTAAACAGAATAGAGACTGACGTAGTCCGCCAAGGCATGAACTTTATTTGATTTATCAGCTGAGTGCATCATTTCTCTTTTCTTATGACACCTTCAGGCTTTTCACGCAATTTGCTTGAAATGAATTAAAGAGGTCTATCTTACTCTTTCCTAATTTCGTGTAACCGCAAGCAAATGTGTGTACGCACAGGGATAAAGTGCCAAGAAACATTTTGTGACTAAAATATTTGCGCAATTAAGCGTTGTGATTATACCTTCTCCGCTTCCATATACTTGAGCAGCTCGAACACAATTTCATAAGGGATTTTGCCAATCCGTGCAGCTGCGAATGCATCGCTCAAAATCGCGTTCCTAGTGAATGCACTGTACTTCTGAATACAAGATATACTTCTTGCACGTTAAATGATTATATCTGCCCATAAATGAAAAAAAATTTGAAATAAATAAGTTCCTATTGTCAGTTTAGACTAAAACCTTATGGTCAACTCTGAGTTGCTTTGATATTTTGCGCCATCCTTCTATGTCGTAGTTTTGACGGTAGTAGCCATTTCTTCCGGCATTGATGATGATGGGGTGCTCGTGTTGGGCCAACTTGAGGTACAAGGGTTCACCTGCAATTTCCAAACGTTATTGCGGACACTTGCGAGTAAGCGTTCGCGGAAAACAAAGAAGCCAAACAATCCTTTTGCTTTTCTCCAACAATAATGATAGGAAGAACAGCTGATGATCTTTGTTTTTATTGGACCCATGCAATATTGCCTCACCATACTTGTTTTTTTTGACTCTAAAATCCAAGTTACGTGAACAGTTTATGCACATGTCATCAAAGGCAACATCCGAGCAAAATTTCAAATGAAATTTCCTCGCTTAGGCTAATACAGCTTGGAGAGCACGAAAACGTTGGAAGATATTCCAATCTTGAATCTGGACGTGTGCCGCCAATATTGAGACGCAGAGTTGTTAGGGAGGGGGGGGGGGGGGTCCTAGGTCTTGATTTGTGCAATTTGGGCGATCTGGCTCATCAGTATTAGGGCGGCCAATTCGATGGGACATGAATGTCGCCAGTTCTAAGGCTGTTTTCTCACTTCAAAGCATGATGTAATTTTACTCAACCAAGAGCTTTATCACAACAGAAGCTATTGTATTTACGTTTTCATATCTGTCCGGACGCTACCATTGCACTGATGATTCTACAGCTGCCACTGTCTAATTGAGGGAGCTAAATTTAGAAAGCCCGTAATTGAATTGCTCTCATTAAAAATCAAGTTTAGGTTAATACGTAGAATCGTAGGTCTTATAAGAACTCGATCCTTGAAACTGGGTGGTTAAGAAAAATCTCAAATAAAGTAACGTTTGCTCCTAAATACTGAACAATAAACAATACTCTTTGTCTATGCACAGCGTAACTGATTCAAAAAAAAAAATAAATGTCTTGGCGTTAATTGAAAAAAAAAAGACTAGAAAATGACTCATATAGAGAAAAAATATTCGAAATGTTGGTATAACGTAATCATGAAGTAATTCGCGTTGAAGAAGCCACAATCATGCATTTGTACCCCTGTAAGTGCCCCAGTTCTCGAAAAATGCTATGTTTGGGGTAAAAGCGGTAAAAAAAAATCATGAGACACCCTATTATCTTGCCTATTTTGGTAATACACAATACATGCCATCAAGGTCGAATAATTGTCATTTTGCCTGCAAACAAAGGTATTACCAAACCTCTTTTAAGCCATTGAAATTTCACTGAAGATGAGCCATCGCGGTACCAAATGGGTACATCCCACTGGTATCTAAAGATCGAAAACAGGATGATTAACTGGTTATCATAATCTTACCCATAAAGTGGGATAGAGTACCTTTTGGGAGGTTGAGCCGTAATGTCAGTTCGAAAAAGTTCCTGTCTTATTTTGACATGAGTTCCATTGAACGATTCCACCGTCACAAGCGGATATCCTGACTACTGAGAAAAAATTCTATTAAGTCACTACACTTCTGCGTACCTGTGTCGCCCATTGATCTACAAAATCGCCCATTTTTAGGCTGCCGGTAAAACCTTCGAGTCCGCCAATAGCTTCATTTAAAGCAATTTCAAAATCCCTGGTTTTAGCAGTGCTATATGCAAATTTGTTGATATAATGCTAAATGAAAGGACATAACCGTCTAATCAATATCAAAATAACTAAATATCTAAAAATACGTGGCAGGTATGAGGTAACAAGCTGATTTGGATTCCGTGGCACACATAGTAGTGAACAAGCAGATAGTTTTGATGCAACTGGCTTGGCGGCTGAAAGGAGGGGCTTCGTGACCTAATTATGGTTAGGAATTGATCAGAGAGCACGCGCGCGGGAGAGACGCAGATGCGCAGCGGGCGTGAGCGGCCTTAATTAGGTCGCAAAACCTCGCCTTCCAGCCGCCAAGCCAGTTGAATCAAAGGTTAGATACCACTTGTCAAAAACGCTATCCTATCTACGACGTCTCAACTAACAAAATCTGGCAAAAGTTCATATCGGAGTATCGGACTACTGAGAAAAAATTCTATTAAGTCACTACACTTCTGCGTACCTGTGTCGCCCATTGATCTACAAAATCGCCCATTTTTAGGCTACCGGTAAAGCCTTCAAGTCCGCCAATAGCTTCATTCAAATAGATTACTTACGTGAATGCTCTTTAGGAAATTATCACGTCCTACTACAGTCGCAACCATCTTCAATATCGCGCCTCCTTTATCGTAAGTTATATCGTCAAATAAACTTGGCAAATCGTCAATTCTGTCTAATGCAAATAAAAGCGGATGACTTCCAGAAGAATCTGTAGTCAAGCTCAGCTCTACAGAATCCACTATGCGAAAATCCTCCTGTAAATATTTTGCTGAGTGATGTACAAAGATTCAAAGTAACAAACTCACCATTCTCATCGACTTGCTTAATTGATCTGCTCCAAGAAACTCGAAATAAGTACTGAAGCCCTCGTTAAGCCACACATCTTCCCACCATTTCATTGTTATCAAATTGCCAAACCACTAGAAAAAGTAATTGAATGCACAACTGCCAAGGATGGGCGTTGTCTATACTGTAGTAGTTGCCTTTAAATTGCTACAACTCAAACGACATCTTTGTAATTGGTATATGCATGCATTTGGTATTCTTCAGTGAATTGGAAATCTGATAAATACATAGAAAACCTGATGCGCAAGTTCGTGAGCAATGACTCTCACAATCCTGAGCTTGTCATTCAGGTCATGTAAATGTCTATCGTAAAGAAGATTGCTTTCGCTAAATAGAAGTGTTGAGGTTTTGACATAGAATACGACCTAATGTAACACACCTGAACATCATCAAACCCCAGTTTTCCATAGCTCCTGCTTTGAAAGTGGGCAAAGCTACCATATCTATAACGTAGACAAATATTATCATGTAATGTAAAGGGCATCCTAACCCAATTTCTCAAGAGGAAATTTGTAGTTGAGGAGTTTTTCGTAGAAGTCCAAGCACTTTATTCCAGCTTGAAGTGCAAAGTGTGCCAGCTCTACAGTTTCCTTTCTTGACCATACACGGAGCTAAATTTGAAAGCTGTATGCACGTTTAGATTTCTACCAATGTCATTTTTACAAAGTAAGATTGTATATTTTTAGGCTTGAACGAGTCACACTTTAAATTATAACATTTGACATTCAGTAACTTCGCATCCTTGTTCTCTTTGAGGTGAAGGTGTTTTTGGCCGAAATGTACAAAGTCAAGCGACAAGCTTACACCATTGCGTCAATCCATACTCCATGAGCATATTGTGCAATGCATATACATGATGTTTCAAAAATATGTGCATGTGTTAACCTCCATATCCCTCTCACCTCGGAGCTGCTCAACTTAAAAAGATGGTTAGTCGAAGTGGCCTAGACAAGGTGCACACAGCCATGAGTTGAGATTCAAGCGTTTCAATGATTTCAAGTCTCCCTTCCTTATCTGCTGCGGGATTCTGAGCAAGAAAAGTTTTTACGAGCAAAATTTGAATGCACATTAATGTAAAATCTTTCGTTGACTTCTCTAGCTTACAAATGAGACAGCGGCTAGTGTGTACATTTTGAATTATGAATGTTTATCGCACAGACAATCATCATTACTCTACAAGCCCTAGGAAAATGGCACGACACATTTTATCCTAGGTGCGCTTATTTTTTCTCCTGAGAATTTTATAACTCTTCACCCAGGAACTCGCTGCAGATAAAGAGGGTAGATTTGTTAATTTCATGTCCTCCAAAACAGTACGCAGCTCATCTTAGAAAGCTTGGACTGACCATCTTTTCTTTTTATATTAGGTTGGCGGATAATTTCTGTTACAATTTATTTTTTATTTTTTAAAAACTCAAGAAACTTTCAAAAATTTTTACGTTTAAGGAATGTTGGCGGGGTGCAAAGGTCTACCCGCCGGTACTGTCAGATCCGCGGTCCGCGCGCAAAACACCCACTTTATTGGTGGGAGTACACTTTATGGACATTTTAGTCAGCGGGCTGGCATTCTTCCAAGTAATAGGGAAGAGACCGGGCGATGTGGTATTCGGACAGGGTATGGTCCGTAGTTTCTAGCGAACATAGGAGGTGGCACAATCATGTCCGCACACGATCACAAGAGCTACATGTTGCGTCATGTCAGCGTACATTGGTGTTTTGACATATTTTGACATGAAGAACAATCTTTAAAAATTTACAAAAGTTATTTCCAACCTTTCCGTACCAAATCCTACACGAAGCACACAAAAAGAAGAATTTTCGACATTTTTTTTGATTTTTTTGAGTTGTTTTTCACCCCTTCTTTTTGGCGTGCTAGCGGCACCAAAGTGCTACCATAAAAGAGACGATGCGAAAATAAGTTCTAAAAAAATCATGGGAGAGAAAAAACACAATCAGACGCAGAGAAAAAAAACAAAGAAAAAATGACAATTTTGAGTGTGCTTATAAAATTGTCGTAAAGTTGCTGGCCAATTGTGCATTTGCGGCATCAGTCATACCGTTGTGTACGCCCTGCCGTGGCCTATATATAGAGCAACTTTGAAGATTCCAGAGAACTTCTGCAACTTTCCAGAATTTTACGAAAAAAATGTAACAGAAATTATCCGCCAACCTAATACATCAGATCGTTTTGAGAGTTTGATTCTTCGATCCATCACAAAAAAAAAACGCGTGGAATTTAGATGGTCAAACATTTCTACATCCGTTCGACGCAGTTTTATTCTTTTTCAGCAGTGATGCTTTGGAACCACTTGCTCTTGTGATTACTATCAAAAAGGTTGCAGAAGTTTTAAACCCATAGTTATTCCGTGCTCAAATTTGGCAATTTTTGACATTTTTTATTCGCGACTTTTGGAAGAGTTTACCTAACACCTGAACAAAGTAAACAACATACGATACTGTAACTCTTTGGCATTTCTCGCCCTTTAGAATCACTAAAATCAGTTTTCTAATGCTGGCAAATTTATATTTGCTTCAGCCAAAAAACAGAACATCAACCAACAAGCCGGATATTGTTCGATGAAGTTTTTCCTCCTTTTTCTTGATTGGTGATAATTCTTTTTTTGTTTTTTTCCTGGATTTCTGGAAGGTTTTTTTCTGGATTTCTTAGACCCGCCTATGCATACTTACTTAGATACTCAGATAGCCCGTCTTCACGTGACGTGAGTGCCCCAACACAGAAGTTTCCAGTAAATCTTATTCTCGCTTCAGAAGTCCACGATTTTCTTATTTGTCCCTGTGGCTGCGTCCAGGAGCTTCAGGGGCAAAAACCGTATCCAGCTGAGTTCTCAGTTAGTCATCCTGTCCACGAATCCGTTACACGTCTGCCCATCTCGTTGGAGGTCTTTATCGTGGACGGTTTTCTTTGCGAGGAATCCACTCCGATATTCCTGGTGTTCATCTGTCGTCTGTCCTTCTCATAACCGTGACCGGTCCGCCGATGCTACCCTTCCGCAGGGTATTCTGCTGGGAGCCACGAAGACGGGACAATCTTCTCATATCCGTGCGGCAAAATCCGACACATGTTGCTTCTGTCGAGTCATCTTGAGAAGACTGCGCTCAAGCATCTGTGAGTGGTTGTAGAGCATTCGACGTGGCTACAGCGTTAGCTCAAGTCTCAGCTGCGTCTGGAAACCGGAAATGCCACCACTTCTCAGCCTGCGAGGCCCAACTGGAGTATACACTCGGCTGTGCATTGCAGCTCGATGCCCGGGGCCACCCCCAAGCCACACCACAGTGAAGGACCGCTTATGCTGTACCCGAAATATCAGAATTCGATATCGGAAACGGTAAAGCTTTCTTGTTTTGCAAAACTAGTTTTAAATGGCAATCGAATTTTCAAAAAGCTTGAAAGGATCCAGTTACGAGGGTAAATAATTCGTAGACTTGACATTCCGGACATTTCACTGTGTTCGATGTGTTCGTGTACCACCCGACTTAAAGTAAAAACTTCTAAAAAAAATTATGTTGAAAGTACTGAAAAGGTGGTCGTACATGCCCAGAAAATACATTTGCACTCTGCTTACCCTATCTATCTGTCATCATAGCTCTTCCAGAAGTTGAGGATTCTGACAAATTGCTAAACTTGGCTGTGGTAGGAACATGGCTTGGAAATTTCAGTGCTATCTTGGGGATCAACACAAATGCTATGGATGCATGTTATTGAAAAGAGGAAGAAAATTTGCGCTAGATAATCTTTATTTCTGCCCATCTTTATTCTACGCGTTTTTTTTTTTGATAGATCGAAAAAACCAAGAAAAATTATTGGAACGACCTAGTATATTACATTAGGGATCAAAACACCAATCGCTCTTCATTACCTTAGAATCATGGTAGGAATTGAAACACTCTGACATACACCATCATTTTGAGATGGGCTATAAAAATTTCAGAGAATCCGAATGCTGTGTAGCAGGGTTGTCACCTTTTTGGTTTCCCTTATAAACCAATATATGGATTCTGGTAGCTCAAAACTCTTTTCAAAGTTCACCGTACCTACATCAAGAGGAATCGGCGTGTCGTTTCGTACCGTTGTTAAATAAACTTTGTTCACTTTATTCGTTACTTTCAGCTTGAGCTCTTGCGTTAGGCGGCAAAACATATCTTAGCTAAAGTTCTAAATCGTAAATCGCAGCGTCAACATATCTAGAGGCAAAAATCTGTACGCCTTGCAACGCTTACTGAAGTAACATTTAGAGTAGAAATTAGAATAGGTTGTAAGGCTAATACGTGTTTGGATAAGAGTCTATTAGCGTCGATTACCCATGTAAGCTACTATGCTTCTGGTGAATGCATTTTTCGAAATTATACTCAAAATGCACATTTTAGTGAAACCAATCAATAGATTTGAATACTGAAAACATATTGAACAAATCAGTCTCTTCTTTGCCACGATAAGTTTTTGTAGAATTTGTTGTGCTGCCTAACGTTTCGGCGGGTATACGGTCCCGCCTGAAATTAGGTCAATCGTGATTACAAGTCATCAAAAGTCAGTCAGTCATCAAAACCTGTCGTGGCAAAGAAGAAACTGAGTAATATTCATCAATTATGCCAAGCTTCAAAGAAAGGAGAAATTTTGAAATATTGGACAAGTTTTGCTGAAGAAAAGCAGTTTCAAATTCATCAAAATTATTTGCAGTTCTTCATGTTGGGTACCCTTGTAAAAAAGGTACAAAAGAATGGAATCGGCCCCCCTTCATCTACTTGCTCATGTACAGTAATGACATTAGTATATAAACTTACCAGCACTCCTGATTTGGTGTAATCCTGAATGTACACGAATTCCGAAACCACGATTGCGAGAAGATATGATGACATAAGAGGCGTTCGAGCAAATTTAGTTATCATCCATTCTCCTACCACTGTTCTAAATAAACTTAATGTGATTTGAACATAGTAGAAATCTTTTGACCGTCTCTACAAAAAAAGATCCTCAGTGCGGTAGTCATAATTCACATTGACTTAATAGAGAATGATTCCAACCATTTATCATTTTAAAAAAAAACCCGCGAGCATCATTTCGAGTGTGGCTTTAAGTAAGTGCGTTGATTCCAATAAAAAGTGTGGATTGCCATGAAAATTTGAGTTTTTGTTCAAAAAATACTGCGCGAACAATATTTTAAACGGTCATACCCAAGTTTAGCACTTACACAAAAACACTGATATTCTGGTTTACTTGCTCAATTCAAGTCTTAGTAAGAAGTCATCGTTTCAACTAACTACTTTCACGTGCCAGAAAGCACATGTCGGACATAGCCAAAATATTTGAAGCGAATGTAGTGCAAGCAAAAAGTGTTCACACTGAAGGATTTGTAAGATAGTGTGACTTTGAACAAAAAATTAGGTAAATGCTTTAATCAGGCAAGTGCTACATGTGTAAATTTTCGGCGAAAGCCTAAATAAGACTTAATCGTTGCCTACTATATTTGCTTAGAAGAAAGTTAACAAATAGCGTTTTGAAAGGAAGGCGTAATGACACACATATCACTAGATGCGTCTTGAAACGCTGGTTACGGATCTGCTTTCGCTATCTGCTAAGCAATCGCTTGAAACAAGTTAGGAGCTTTTTTACGCAGACTTTTTGCATACTGAAGCATGGTAAGAATTATAGATAACTGAGTTTTTCAAGGGTAATTGCGACTGAGAGGGGTTTTATTTGAGCCCTTGCGCTTTTTTGTATGTCGTTCTAAGGAGCGTAACAACGAACTTAAACAATATCAATTGTTATGCTTGATTGGAAAAATGCAAGTTATTATGAAAAAAAAGATTATAACTTATTTCAGACAATCGGCAGATAGCGAACAGATTAGAATCAGTGTTCCAAGGCGCATCTTATTTGTCTCATTACAAATGATCACGGTCACCAAATATCCTTTCCTTGTGTGTCTCAAAGCAAAGACATTTTCTTCTGGCGCCTCCTCTCTTGAGATCAGTTGCTGTCTCAGAAACATGAGGCTGCTTTCTTTACAAACACGGAAGGGAAGAACTTCAGTGTTTGAAAGGACTTCGCCTTTGTGAGTGGCATTGCTTGACATCTATTTAGACCAACTCGCACTTGGAGCATTCACCATTCTCCTGTGGGCCTAACAGGCCTATAAAAGTCCGAAGATCACGTGCCGAGCCGGCACAAACAAATAGAGACCTCCAATATCCCAGTCATGGGCTACACATATTAGAAAAACAAACCTTTTTTCTTCATTCATATTCGAAATTGCCTTAGTCTCTCTGGGATGAATTATTGTTACATTCCAACAAGCTTTGAACTCAGGTTCGTCAAAGCATGGCACCATTTTACGAGCGTGAGTGGGTTCCAAGTGGGTAGAAACAGCTACCCTACAAGATTTCAATTTTCAAAATAGTTACAAAGCATTCTGTTTTTACTTTGCAACCCCATCCTTTTCAAAATAGGCTGTCTGATGCAGTCCTTCGTCTACATTCGCTTTGATTGTTCCGGTGTACGTCAACTAAAAGTTCGTACCTCTTTCGTTAGAAACTTGTCGATTTTCATTTTGGATTACCTTCAAAGCAACTTTGTCTCCTTTATGAAGGCAAACTGTAGGTAAGATTTTGATCATCTCTGACTTGTTCAGCAGGACTATTCTCTCAACGCCAACATGGCTACCATTCTGGAAATGAAATCAATGCCCAACAGAATGTAGTGTGCAACGAGATACATTTTTTGAGATGATGGTATGGAAGGCTGTTTGGTAAATGTAAAATAAAACAATAAAAAAACTTCCAACTAGTCAAAGGCAGGTGCCTCAAGGAGCCGTCTACGCTTGATTGCTTTATATAATTCAAAAAAGTGAGCTTGGAAAAGCGCTTTAACAGCCTGTGAGAGGAAATTGGTGTTTTATGATTAATTTCATGTCCAAATCGTTTTAAGGCAAAAAACAATGGTGCGTGACGCCAAGATTTGTTTTGAAGGATGACATGTTCGAAGTGGAAGAGGCGAATAAGCATGGCAGGGACCAAAGATCTTCTAACAAGGAAAGCATGTTTAGCCAAAGTAGCCTTTTAGAATGAAATGTATCCATAGGAGGGTAAGACGCTGATTCCAAATCTGCCTTCCTTATCTGCGGAAAATTCATTACGGGGAGTCATGAGCGTTTTTGGAGCAAAAAATTGAAATCAAGATGTAATATATTTTCTAGCGATTTGATGGAGCAGTGATGATTGTCAAAGCACTTCAATTGATGACTACTCTAAAAACATCACACTTGGTTGCTTATCTGAGGCGTAGTAAGATTTCAATTCATTTTGTTCTAGGAAGCATATTTAAATTTTTGGCTCCAAAAAGCTCGTAATTCCTCATTCGTGAATGTTCCGCAGATGATGAAGGCAAGTTTGAATCTTTGAGGTTTTTAATATCGTATGCATTCCATTTGAAAAGGCCACTTCGATTAAACATGGTTTCTTCGTAAGTTTTGTGATAATTGACAAAAGCGCTCTCGGACATTTTTTAAATTCGCTACTTCTTTAAAGCTTCTTACTTATGAGGAATACCAACTTAAGTTGGTAATTGCAGACGTATATAGCTCGTCTCTAGACGCTAATTCCAATTCTGTTTTTCTTTCCCGCGAGGCAACTCTCCGAAAGAAACTATGAGCGTTTAAAAGTCGAAATTACAACTTCACATGGATAAAATTTGCAGCAACTATGCAAAAGTGCCTAAAAGTGGGTATAGTGTGTACCCCGGTAAGCTTCCCATAGGCACCTCCACGCAGCGCGATCGTGCTTTCCAGGCCCTCTGTTTTCATGCGCTTTCGAAGTCTCCATCTTTCTTCTTCTTTCTTCCTTCTTTCTTCTTATGCTCTCTATTTGAGCAAGAAGGCCTACAGATGGCTACAACGGCTGCAACGCGTCGCCCTCCCTGTTAGTCAAAACGTTTAAATAGTCAAACCAGGAAACGGTCTGCCGGTTGCTGCAGCAGACTTTTCTTGAATTTTTTTTTCAGGTTGGCTCAACTTTGCTCTCGGACCCGCCGAGGTACTGCATCAAGTGGGGCACAAGCATACTGCATTTTAGCAAACTTCTATTTGGTGAAATGCCAAACGTGTTAGCTACCACCTATTTAGCACATTACCTTAACCCATTGACGACGACGTGCACCACCGGTGGCCCACACACCTTGCAAGATCATATCCTTTCCAGGTCTAGTATTTTTTTTTCCAGAGCTCACCATTTTTTCCAGTTTTTTGCACTCATGGACCTGTAAACTTCGTCGTCCAAGAGGATGGCTGTAGTTGCTTACAAAATATTTTTACATTTCGTAAATAATCACAAAACTTTCTCGCGCCGCAATTGTCGTGAAAATCGCGCCGTCCCACAGCGCCGCCACGCAAAATTAGGCGTCGTCGTCAATGGGTTAACAAGCTGGATCGCGAGTTTAGCAAGTTAATCGTGTACTTGACAAGTTCATACTTATATTTTCCCTATCATTACTTGCATGGAGACACGGAAGAACAATTTAACCTGTTCAGACTATGTGTGCAATGCGATCTCGAGTCTCCTGTTCATAGAATGGAGGATACCCTATGTTCCATCAGCCTGTTACTCAGGTTTGAATACGTAAGTCCGCTTCTGGTCACACGGGTTCCTTTCACGGGGCCTACCTCGATTGGGTGCATTATCTTGAGAGAGGTCTCTGCAGCAGCCGGCAGACCAAGCCTTATACCTGGTTTGACTCCCCAAACATGTTGTTTGACAGAAAAAACGATGCATTGCAGTCATTCTCGTAGACCTACTTGCCTGAAATATGATTATAAAAAGAAAGAATGAAGAAAATAGAAGAAAAAAAGCCAGAAAGTCCGAAAGCGCACAAAAACACCCGGGCGCCTTGAAGGCAGCCTGACGCTTTGCGTGCGCGGCGCGGAGGTACCTATGAAAAGCTGGCTGGGATGCACACTATGATCAATTTAATATCGAATATATCAATTGCAAGAAAGGAACAATTCTAGTAAAAATCCGCATATTTATTTTTATAGAGCTTTTCGCTACTTTTTGCCCAAACTCGACAACGAGTATCCTTCCCTTATTACTACATTGAGTTATTTGTATCAAGTTTTTCTTGTGTAGTTAGATTTGAGCACATTGGAGAAGTCAAGATCACGAGCGGGAGCTGGGTTTTTGTAAATCTAGTCAACTCATTCCGTCTCCGCAAAAATCCGAATTTTTTTTGTCACTCTACTCTTCACAGCTCACTCTATCTACTTGCAGTTTCATGGGTGGAGGACTATATGTCGCCGGATTTGGAAGGGTCCCGCGCGGACTCCCTGTAGGAACGCATGTCCGCGCATTTATAAGGGTGCGTATTTGTCGCAAATGACCGCAAGGACCGCCCTTTTTCGGCGACATATAGTCTTTTTCGGCGACATATAGTCCTCCACCCCAGTTTCATTAATATCTTACCACAAAAAGCTCAGCTCTTTTTACTTTGAGATCCTTCATGTTCAGCACGATCTTGCCAGTTGTTTCAGCTATGTCAAGGCCAATTTCGACTTGAGCATCAAATGTTAGATTTTTCTTCGCTGGGAACACCACATATGAAGGCAAATATACTTTCATTACCAGATCGTAACTCCCTGAAATATCACTGCTTGAATAGGGAGATCTTCTGTGAGCATCAAGTGCAGCAACCTGCAGCAAACTTACGCGGCCATATGTTCCTTGGCAGACGAGAGAGCGATATTGACAAATTTTCATTTTCTTTTCCATCGCTTCTGTTGCTACTGTAAAAGACGAAGAATTCATGTGCGCACTTTGTCGTTTCATTTCATTTTTCCTGTTAGCTTAAGATCTCGAAGAAAATTCAAATGAATGATGGAAAAGAAAGTATTAGCAGTCGCAGGATACTTGTCAGTTCCATGTTCGCCAAGCGCAGTAAAAATGCTTATCTCAAATTGACATTTATAGTTGCGGTGTTGTGGAAGTTCTTATAAGCAGTGGCTCGGCAACATCGAAGATCTCGAAAATTTTATAGGAAGGTTGCTTGCATCCCAAACACGAGAATGGAGCAGGTCCGAGCGCACAGCATACTACCCCTGCCTAGAAAAGTGCCCCTAAACCCACACGCGCTCGGACGAGCTTGCGTTATCCCTCACGCCGTCAGAGGCGGCATGCGGCAATGCTATAAGCATGAGGGTCCCACAACGACTCCGCGTCTCTAACGATGGCGGGGAGCGTCCCACTCGTCCAAATTCAAAATGAGGGGCTTGGGATATGCTGGCTTCCGCCAGTTTCGCGCTCTAAAAAGTGGATTTTCCGAATCAGCGCGTCGAATTAACTCAGGTAAGCGAAAAAACCAAAGATCGAGGATTTGCAGATCCACTGCCTTTAAGTGAAATGCAAAGCATTTGTTGGTTAACAGTATTGCTCCTAGGCTTCGGCCAGAGTTCACGCAATTTCATCGCCGCAATTTTTCCCAAACAAGACAAACAGTCACGAGTTTATTGCATGGCGTTTGTTTTGCATTTCGGTTGTGATCGTTCTCCAACACGGTCAATGGTGACTTCTATCACAACCGAAATGCAAGATGATCGGCATCAATGGACTCGTAACTGTTTGTCTTGTTTGGGGGAATTGCGGCGATGAAATGCGTAAACTCTGCCGCTGCAGCCATAATGCTCGTATATACCCTAGCCCTACACTTATCGTGTCACAAAGTACACAAATACGGGTTACAGCTTGTGGTCAGTATTCATCATTTTTGTAGTGCACATAGCACATTAAATGCCATTTCACACAAAGTACTCTAACAGGATTGTTGATGCTAGAGCAAGATTTTTTGACAAGAAGAGTATTCCAACTGCCAGCCTTTGATTATTTAATTACACATGCTAGCCTAGAAAAGCATGTAAAAGCTGCTAATATAGAAAAATTGCCTTCTACTAATTATCTCAACCGGAAATATAGTCGTTAGATCGATAGAAACCTCATACAGCAATTTAGGATTCGTCATGTATAATGTTCTTCGGAGAATGCAAATTCCTTACGCGGTCGTGAATGAGTGCCGCGCAACGCGGCAGGCAGTCAGTTCCTATGGGCAAGCCGCGCAATAGTGCGCGGTACCCTAGACCTTAGTTTTTATGTTCCCAATCGCTCCGACTTGTGCCCACATAATCAACCTAACTTTAGAAGTTTTCATGTTGGCTCGCCCCTTTTCTGGCAAATCCTACTCACTCCATTTGCCCTTTGCAAGAGATCTTTTTGTGCGCAAGACGCAAAGAAGAGGTCGCAAATGACTCCTGGAGCCTTAAAGGCACCGTCCACCCAAAATGGGATCGATGATATGCGAATTTTTGAGTGGACGGTGCCTTTAAAGGCAGTGGATCGGCAGAATGAGACCCGTAGCAAAACGAGGTCACAGGGTAGCAGCCCCATAATAGGACCTATGGGCCATAGTTCGATCTTTCTCTGTCACTTCTAAACCCCAAAATTTCAACGCGAAAGCAGCGCCCATCTTCTCTCCTCTCCGATCCCGCCCACCCATGGACGAGTGACTTCCACGGTCAGAGCGCGCAGCCGCAATCTATAAGCATGAGGGTCCCGCAACGACTCTGCGTCTTCGCCATGGCTGACTTCGCGTTCACTGGTCCGTGGGGTGGGCGGGGTCGGAGAGGAGAGGAGATGAGCGCTGCTTCCGCTTTGAAATTTCGGGGGTTAGAAGTGGCAGAGAAAGATCGAACTTTGGCCCATAGGTTCCATTACGGGGGCTCCTACCCTGTGACCTTTTTGCCACGGGTCTCATTCTGCCGATCCACTGTCTTTAAGCAGCTTTGACCTTGGGTCCGCTCCCATCAAGAAGGCTCCGCCCCCCGGTCAAGCTCCGCCCACTTTTTTAAAAATGTCTGAATTTGTACGAATTCGTAGACCTCACGCAATTTCCAGCATTTTTGCGGAGTGGGCGGAGCTGCCCCGCTAATTTGTATATTCATATTTTACGCATAAATGCATGCATATATACAAACAGCCAGGCGTAAAAATGCAGGAAAAGATCTCGTCTACAGGGCAGACTTGAAAAAAATGGCTAATTGTAAACGTGTTAAGAATTGGGAAACATATCATGTGATAGAGCGAAGCGACCTCCACACGGCTGCATTCGAAAGATCACAAAAAGTCAGATCTGCATGAGAAGTGGAAGCAGAATCCAAAAAACTCAATTTTCCAGAAGTCAGAGAAACCTTTCAATAAAAAATGCGAGTTCCTGCGGACCCTCAATTTGGTCACGCATGTGCTCTACATTAAAAATCTGTACATAATTGCCACATTTTTACAAATGATGAGAATTGAATGTTCAAAATGGGCTAAAAGTGCGAATATATCGCCTTTTTCGTTTTTTTAAGCCAAATTCACTATTCCTCGGGAATGTAGAAAACTGAAAATCTACAGTTGTAACTGCCAAAGGATTATAGCATAGAACTATATTACAGTAGCTCAGCATTGTATCTGCTAGCTCATGCCCGCTTCCACGTTTCCAGTCTCTGCCCATGAGATAACTGCAACTGTACACATGTTTGTTGAGGACAGGATATGCCACCAAGTTGGATGGAATTCTTCTTTCCGGGTGATTACAATTCTTTGTGTTTAGCTTCTGAATATAGGTGGGTCAAAGTTCTCTGTCGATCTAATGCAAATTCAGAGATTGCTCTATCGAATAATATGCTTTCGACATTTTTATATTTATAGTGTCGCGATCGCGTAAGGAGCCTGCATCAATTTCCGGACAGTATAATACTTAAAGAAACCCACCGTTGTTTTTCTTACCTGAATATTTCTACCATGTACTTAATCCCGAGAAGTAATAAATGCTTTGGAATTGCTTAACGGCGCGAATTCAGGATGTCCCGAAAGTAAGTACACCCTTTTTAATAGTTAATAACTCTCTTCTCACAACATCTTTCGCTCAGCTGAAGATACCTTTCAATGAAGCTTCAATATCGATTTTATAATATGGAGCGAATCATTCAGTACTCTTCGTTAAGTTATTATTAGAATTACGGTAGAAACTTTGAAGAGGGAAGAAGAACTTCCTGAGCTATCATTGGCTACATTTTGCCCCAGAGGATACTCAGCAGAGTGAAAACCTTACAGGCTAAGGGTTGCTGATTATAAATATGAAGTTCGCACTTTATCGTAAGACTTTTTTGAAAGTTATTCCAGAAACCGCGATAAGGTTTTTCACTGTCTTTCAAAGGTGTGATTAAATCATTGGAAACGCTTCAAAAACTCGTGAAAATTTTGGAAATGAAGCCAGCATCTCTAAAAACACTGACACACAACTTTTCAGATTTACTGAAACTTTTCTTCATTTCACAATGGCGCTGTACTGGAGGTTCCTACTATTCCAACAGTAATGAAGAGCGATAAGTGATTCGCTCCATGCTAAAAGTTCGGGTTGAAGCTTGCACTAGTATTTGAAGCTAACGATAAGCAAAAGGCTCTAAAAAAAAGAGTCATTAACGGTGCAAAGGGTGTACTTACTTTTGGAACACCAGGTATGATTTACTAGTGAATGTTGACAACTTTTGAGGATCACCAGCGCTTGATTTTTTTCCTTTTAGGTCATTGGCTCGATACCCAGGTTTAATCAGTAAAATAACAATTTTTTCTCTAGTTTTAAGAGGAACCACATTGTCACTTGGTAGACCAGGGGTGGTATGCATCACTCTACCGTTTTGAAAGCGGGCGATCATTTTCAATAGAAAAATGGTTGCTCGGCCGGGTTGGCCGCCCGACCCTAATGTATGCAGCTGCGATCGGGGGCCGGGCAATCGTTTTCCTATTGAAAATGATCGCCCGCTTTCAAAACGGTAGATTGATGCATACCGCCCCAGAATTACCAGGACTGATAACTTTTGACTCTGATTTGATTTAAAAAAACTAACCAATTCTCCTTTCTTTCCATGTGCGGGTCTTCGGGAAGGAAGGATACCAGAAAAACTGTCGCGCACAAAGCAATGACAAATGAGTTAGCCATTCATAAAAATATAATAGCTGAAATGTTTTCTTCCAGAAATCTCTGAAACAGAATGAGTTTGGTTTGTCGATTTGCCAAAGCTGCCAGTCAATCCATATTTGTGTCGTAAAATCAGGAACAAGTAAACGGTTTTTGTTGCAGGAAGCAACATGCAATATTTAATGCAAAATTTTGTCAGAGCCCTGCCGCGTCGAAAATTCGCGAAAAGGAATTCAGGAAAAGTGGTGCACAAATTGCAGCTTCCATTTACCATTAGATTCCCAATTTACAAGAAGATGAAGAAGGGTACGTCATCAAGGCAAGACCTCATTTGGATAATTTCTAACTGTTGTCCGCTCCCATGGCGCCAAATGGAAAAGGAAACTTGGAGGTAGGGCTTAAAATTTGAAAACGCACAGCCAGTTACCTAATTCAAACAGAAGTATCGTAGTTAGTTATGCATGAAGCAGCTGTAAACGGCGCAGGTTCATGATTGCGGGATAAAAAATTGTTTAGCGGAAGTCTAAATGGCGCAACGAGTTCCTGAATTTGCAAGGCTCGAAATTGTCTCTGGAGCTCCATAAATTGAGATAACGTACTTCAAGGGCAC